AATATTGAATATATATATATTAACTAAATATTTAAAGTATGTTATGTATGTCTACAGATACTTTTAATAATTTGATTTTTCGTGTAAATTGTAAATGTGCAAAAAAAAAAAAGGAATATGTTTATGAAGCGGGCAACGTAAATGTGCAGACCAAAAAATTTCATTTCAGTCGCGTAATTTTCTTATTTCTTTTAGACAGCTTATCAATAGAAACCTCAATCGTTAACGATGCATTGATAAAAAAGAGTTGAGTATAAAAAACCGTTGCTTTTTTCTTGTATTTATTTAGAACGAGTTTGAACATTTTCTATATTTTTTATAGATACCGATAACTATGTCTTCTACACTTCTTCCGGTATTTTGATTGTCTCGAACTGGTCCTAGTTAAAAAGATACCATAAGTATTTAAGATAAGTATGTGTTAAGAAAAAATAGAAGAAAGAATTCTTTTAGTTTATAGTATGCACAGCAAATTGTTATCTCGTTTGGTTCGAACCAGTCGTCAAATATAATCTTGTAAAGGTCCTGGGTAATACCAGAGAGCCTCCTTCTTAATGTAACAAGCACCGCCCAGAAACCTCATTAGTAATAATCTCGTTCTGTAATCTTAATAACGATAGAACGACGCCATTCGCATGGCGAACGTACTTCACATTTATAACGATTTGTACAGCATGAGCCATTTAACTTGATTATCTCGAATAATTTCGAAATTGTACATTAAACAAAAAATTACTTTTACAAATATTACATAACGTCGAGAAAGAAATAAAGTAGTGTAAATGACTTATTTACAATTCGAGATATTTAGGTGATTGAAACTTCAATTTGGTATTTTTTTAATTGAATGACCTATTTTTTATGTTTTTTGATAGCAGTTTTAGGAAGAGCATTAATTTCCAAGTAAAAAATAAGTATTAAACATTGTTTGTTCTAAAGCTAATAAAAAATCCTCAAAATACAAATAGCAAATCGTTAACCTATTGCAAGGTAAATAAAAAATGTAAATGTCGGGTTATCGAATTAAGCGGCGTTCACAATCAAATAATAATTTCACGAATGATTTATTCGTTACGCAGTTTTCTATACAGAAGATCATTTCAGTTACTTGTCGAACTTAAGAAATGCTTTCTTCGTCACAAGCATGATTAAAATTCGTCTAAGTCTAGGAAAGTAAGGTTGCCCGCAGGTAGGAACCTCGTACAGTTGCGAGGGGTTAATTACATTCTTGCAAGTCCGCACGAACGAGTGAAACCGCATCTGCTTCCTCGATTGCACTTTAGCAAACCACAGTGCAATAAACGGTAGCATTGTGGGACCCCAACTCGGAGACCTTTAAAGCGCCCTGAAACGTTTTCGCACGTATGCGCAAACTCTTCGTCTCTTCTTTCCCGTGGGATCACTAAATTTTCCTTTTCTGCAAAAGAAACAGGTATTACACAGGACATTGAACGCTCCTTACATTTCTTTGTCAATATATTTTCATTAGTATTTTTTTACAAATTATTTTATCATTTTTTTAACGCACCTGTTACCGAAAAGTAGTTTTCTATAACATTTAAAAGTATTTACTCAATGGAAAATATATTTATTTGCTTTTATTTTATGCAACAGATATTTAAATGATCGATTATCGTAAAAAAAAATTCCTATGAATTTAATTCAACAAATTTTTAAGCATTTATTTTTTCATCTCGTATAAAAATTCTTAGAAAATATGTTTCTTAGGAACAAACATTTGTGAAAATTTTCGTTAATTATCGTTAACAATTTACCTGTAATTTTCTTCTTAGAAGAGGAATTTTTAGTTAAGGATCGACAAATCTTAGTTACTTTCCTGTCGAACACGAGATGAAAAAAGAATAGAAATGGAGTTGAGATAAAAGTTAAAAAGAATGATCAAGCCATCCGAAAGGGGTAGAGAGGCGCGAAGGAACGAAATCTCGCGGGGGTGGGGCTCTCCCGATTCGCGCCTCGTTCGCCCCACCCCCACCTGCTTTCCCAATGGGAAGCTCCGCCTCCAGGAGGTTGCGTGACGTCACGCGGACACTTGTTACGCCTTGCCGTTCGAACGGCGGGACCGCCACCACCACCTCCACCACTGTTCTGCTTGGATTTTCTATGCAAATGAATGGTGTATATACGTGTGTTTGTAAAAAAAAAAAAATTTATCCGCGATCTATATCTAAGATAATTATTAATTATCCTCTTTCTTTCATTTTTTTATCTCTTCGTTGAATATTTTTTATTTTTAATTATTTAAAAATTATTTCGTTCGTTTTTTTTTTGATCCAAAAGGAAAAATATTCCCCTATCGTTTTCTAATTTAAATAAGGTTTTATTAATTTTTCTCGTTAACGCGGTAAATTTCTTCGAAATCTAAACGTTCTCCTTAGAAACCACACGAATGCGATAAAACTTGGTTACCGCAAGAATCTTTTGTCTCAGGGGAAAAGAGTATGATAACGCGTGAGTCTTAGACGATACCGTTTTTTATTCTCTTTTTTTTTTTTTTATTATTCGTCACTCTCTCTCTCTCTCTTTCTCTCTCATCAGTTTTATAAAACGGGATTTAGAAATTAATTATTCCTACGATCATTCATCGCTTAGGATCATCAAACTAAGATAATGAACAATTGGTATTAGTAATCTCTATTATATTTGCAAAGATTCGATACCCGATAGCGGGAAAACTTATAAGTCAGCGTATAGGAAAAGTGTTTGAACGGATGACGCACAGGGAATTACCGTAAGATCTTTACGAGAATTCCCATTTTGCATTTGCATTTGTATTTGCATTAGAGTGTCTTGCATTCTTGTTAGCTCCAATAATTGGAGTCCAATCTTTGATAAAAATTCTGACAGAGAGATAGATAGAGAGACTCGACGAATATATCGGAGTTCCCGAAATTGCGAGCATTGAAATCCTGGAAAATGAGTGACCTAATATAAATTTAAAAAAAAAAAAATAAAAAGAAGATTTGTTATATTTAAAAAGAGGGTCTAGTAAAAATAAATTGTCGTCGTCATCGTCATCATCATCGTCGTCACTGGTGATGGTAGTATTAGTAGTGGCGATGGTAATGGTGGTAGTGGTAGTGGTTATGGTGATGGTGATGGTGGTGGTGGTTATGATCGTAGTGGGGAGATTGGTGAAGGAGCAAGAGCGTGTCCCGTGGCGAGCACGAGTAGGGTGGGGGTGGTGAGTTGCAGAGGAGAGTTGCAGAGGAGAGTTGCGGAGGTTATGCCGACCCGGGCCGCTTCCGCGGAACACGCGGCCTGCTCAGCCGCGGCATTACGTCGCGCACCGTCGACCGCGACTGACGTTAGTCAGTAAAATTGTTCACGTTGTTATACTATATTATTAACATTTTTTTCCTCCACGCCTCTGTGTGTATATTTATTTTTAATTGATTTCATTCGAAGTTATAGAGAAAAAGAAAGAAAGATAGAATAAAAAGAGACAGGAGAATCAGTAGTGATTAGATTAACGATTCATATTATACGCGAAAACGATTTCGGTTGATCATTGTAATAATAATATTATAAGATTATGCAAACTTTTTAGTGTTCGGAGTGATGATAGTGTAGGACGATTATATCCAGTGAGCCACGTGCTTAGTGATTCCCGCGCATTTTTTTTCTCTTTTGAGTGACTTATAAAATAATAAAAGAAAAATTTGGTTAAAAAAGACTTATTATTTATTGGTTATAAGTTAGTTTGAAAAAGGGGCTGATTAAATAATAGTGATTCGAATCGTTTGATGAGAGATAAAGAAAAAGGAGATATAATTTTGGTGAAATGGATAGAGAGGAGATTTTGATTAGATTTTAAAGGATGTATCGGTGAACCCAAAGGATGCGCTCGATCGGAGAAGACGAATGCGCGAGCGGAGGGCAACGTGGGGGTACCTGTTGGTAGCAAAGTGGTGGTCGCTCGTCGACGGGTCGACTAGATCGGCTCCGTCGGTAAGGTCCGCTTGAAGTAAAGGTCACGACGTCTCGCGCGGAGGATACGTGTTTGGTGGGTGACGAGGAGCGGCTACTGGCCGATGGGATGCATCTACCGGTGGGTTCCGTGGGCTGCGGGGAGAATTACGGCACCGTCGGATCTCAGGAAGGCGCCGGCCCGTGCGGTCCCTCCCTGGCACCCCTCCAAGGGGTCAACACCAGGTACCATCAGGGTGACGACGGCGAAAACGGCGGTGGTGCAGGCGAAATGAGCGAGAGTGCCGCCGTCGGCGAACTTTGGTGGACCGAGAGACTCGTCGGTGAGGCACAAGCTGAACATCCCGGCGAACTCGTTAGAACAGGTACGGTCATTCTTTTTCTTTCGTATATTCGATTAATTACTAATTTTGTGAAAATTGGAAAAATAAATATTATCTTATATATTTTTTTTTATTATCACAGGTTCGCCGTACTTCCTCTGCAGTCAATTGCCAACTCACTGGAGATCCAACAAAACCCTACCAGTGGCTTTTAAAGTAGTAGCCCTAGGCGAGGTTGGCGATGGAACCCTCGTTACTGTTCGCGCTGGTAACGATGAAAACTGTTGCGCTGAATTACGTAATTCGACTGCACTTATGAAAAATCAAGTCGCCAAATTTAATGATCTTAGGTTCGTCGGTAGAAGTGGAAGAGGTGAGCACGATTACACAGTTCATTATTTTACAAATAAAAATCAATATTAGATATCATTTGAAAAAGTAAGATAACAATCGATAATATTTCATTTATTTTTTTACATCGAGAAAATGATTTGTAAATACACGCGCGAAAGTAAAACGAGTCGAGAAGGGGAAAGTACGAGCGGTCGGGCAGTGATTTCGAACTGCCTAAAATCACGGTTATTGTGATCATTATCATTAACCACCCTCGAGTCTCCCGCTAGCCGTTCGGCAGCCCTGCGTTCGCGAGTTCCCGTTCCCGCCGCCCCCAGAGTCATTACTCGATGTCCGCCACGAGCCCCGGCTGAACGCACGAAACAACTGGCCGTTAATCAGAAATCATCGTCCGTCTGCTAGGGAGAGAGAGAGAAAAAGAGAGACATCGAGTCCCCAAAATCAACCAGATCTTTTGATCGACAGTTTCGAGTCATTTATTTCCCCAAAGCAGAATACAGACAAGGGAAATCGGAAATGCAACGAGATCACCGTATCTCTCTCTCTTTTCGCGATCATCAAAACGGTTAATAACGAAACCGAAACGATAAAGGGTATGATGTCAAGAGCAGTCATCCATCGAATTTATAACGAATATCGAAAACGTCCAACTTTATTACGACGCGTTTCTCCGTTATTCTTTCCCTTTGATTTTTATATGAAAACCACCCTGCGTGCACTTTACCATCAATTTATTTTCTTCTATATTTTGTTATTTAACTAGGATCACAAAATTTCGAAAGTTCTATCGTCGCGTATTAAGTAGCGACAATTATTTAGAGGACAGTCGGATAGATTTGTCAGGAGGTACAAATGCATTTTGCACCCTGTGCGAACCTACCATCGAGGGTCCGGCGTTTATGAATTAACGAGCTGTACTGCTCGTGCGAGCCGTTCGTTGATGGCACCATCTATGTTTCATTTGATTTCATCATGAAACGTAGGGTCGACGATTTTCACCTACCAGTCCTGCCTCCTCTCCTCTGCCTTTCCCCTTCCATCGATCTATCTTTATTTTTTCTTTCTTTCTTTTTTTTTTTATTCTCTTTCTCTCTGTCTCTCTTTCATTCTCTCTCTTTAACATTGATAATGAAATCAATTAGCATGAAAGACACTTCTCTCGTCAAAATTCTTCAATCCCTTTGTAACAACTGTTTTTTTTTTTCCTCCCCAATTCCTCTCCCACCTTTTCCTCTTTCCATACCCCAACTACCCTCCCAGATAATCCGTAATACTCAATTTCGACGATTGACCAAACTGCCCACGGTGTATTCGTATCAGCCGCGACCAAATGGAACCTCCTATCATGGAGGTTTTGTTTCCGCGACTTATTAATTTGATTGAACCGCGCCGCGTATCGCTTCCATCGACGATAGTGGCTTCAAGAAATATCCACCGAGTATATTTACGGATAGGAATATTGTTATGATATTAACTCGCGTTTCTCTCGTTTCTTTTTTTTCTATTCGCATTCGTAAAGAAATAATTTACCGGATGCACATATTACATATATATATATATATATATATATAAATATATCATCGGACTAATTGTCGTAAATTTCGAACCGAATTCGAATCGAATTCGTTAAATCAAAATAAGAGAGAAACATAATAGGAATACGGGAATGGGAAAGAGAACAATGTATTAAAGTTACAATTAGGCTGGTCTAAACGTGCCACGCTTCTACCTAGAGAAACTAGTCGAGGGTTAGGAGGAAAAGATAGAGAAACGAGACGAGGAGAGCCGATAGTAGCCGGATCAAAGAGGTCTGCGGAGACTAAAGCGGTCGTTCCATCATCGGGCGCGGACCTACCGGCCCGTGCCTATAATTAGTAATATACCGCAGTCTATATCGACACGGCTGAAATTACCAGCGATAGTAATTATTTGACAATTGCAGAGACATCCTGTTTCGAGACTATCTCTCTCTCTCTCTCTCTCTCTATCTCTCTCTCTATCTTTCTCTTTCACCTTCTACGTTCATTCCGCTACCCTTCATAGTCTCTCTCTCTCTCTCTCCTTCTCTTCCTCCTCGCCCAGAAGACCTCCTCCTCCACCTCTTCTTCCTACTCTTGATGCTCGTGTCCCCTCCGCCTCGTCGCCACGAGTATTAACGGACGGTTTCGAGTGGTTTCGGGTGGTTGTGTGGGCGGTTTGGGATGGCACTCATCCCATTCCTCGCTGTGTTACCAACGCGCGCGCACATACACACACATATATATTCGTACACGAGCTCGCGCGCGAGCGTGCACATCATACATAGCCATAGACATAGACACACATACATTCACCATTTGGATAGAAGCGTGCTACGCTAGGGACAGAATCATCGCGTACGGGATAGAGAGAAGCAAGCAAGCAAGCTTGGTGCTACTCGCGTTATATAGGTGACACATACGCGTGGCCCGGTTTTGTCCTACCGTCCGATCTGTCCGTCCGGTCCGTTCGTCCGTCCGTCAGTCCATCCGTCCGTCCGTTCGTCCGTCCATCCACCCGTCCGTCCGTCCGTTCGTTCGTTCGTTCGTTCCTCGCTCGCTCGCGAATGCACAGCCCGGCTCCTGTCTCTGCAGATGACCGTTCCCATCATCGAGTATTAACCGCAGCTCCGGGCACGAAGAGAGGGGGTGGCAGTCGGCTGTGCGGCATTATTAGCCCCAAATGCGATGGACTCTCTAGCCGTTGTCATCGGGGTGGGGGAGGAGAAGCTCGAAACTCGAAACGATCCTTTCGACTTAACTATGATTTTATATAGAGTTCTTTTTTAACTTTTACTATAACTTGAAGAAAAAAAAAAAGAGAATTCTTTTTTCTAATATTTTGTGTTGATTACGATCGTTAAAATCATACGTGTTTTCTAACTAGTTGCATCATGTTAATCGCATTGGGTAGAATTTTTGTATTTCTTTATCTTATATTGTTTTAGTTTATTAATTTGCTAGAATCTTTCATAGAGGGGGACGAAGTGAGGAAGGGGGGAACGGGTAATATTATTAATAGAATTGGATCGAATTGTAAAGATTGTTCGTCTCGTGTAAATCTGTAAAATCGTTTCGCGATGCAGGTTTACTCGGACTAGGTAGATTAGATTCGTCGGGAACGAATCATATTTTGTATCGTAACAGATACAAGCGATGACGGAGACAACAAGGATACAATGACAATTGGTTGAGAGAGAACAGCGACAGGATCGGTGATAGCGCGATCGCAGAGAGTAAAAGATAGAAAGAGAGAAGTTTAGAGGGGAAACGATATAACTAGGATATAACGCTACGTAACGTTCTCTCTCAGTTTGCAGTCAGTTGCAGTTCCCAGGGGGTGGGCGGGTGGGTAGTGATGCTGATGGTGATGGTGGTGGAGGTGGTGGTGGTGGTGGTAGTAGTGGGGTTCGGAGGGTGTTTGATGCCGGTTATCATGTTGACAGACACAGCGAGGTGGACCTAGGTGCACCAAGGGGAGACAATTACAAATCGTTGACGTTTACGCCAACACAAACGAATACATGTCCGCGACGCGTTAGATCGTGTCTCTCTTCGCGATCAACAACGATAGGACGCGTATCGTTTTTCAAGCAATCATTTTGTTTTTTTCCTTTTTTTGTTTTTGTTTTTGAGACCAACCCCCCTCCCGCCACGGCCCCCCCCGCTATTTTTGCGATAAAAATTCGATCTTCTTTAGTGATCGGTTAAAGGATACCGGTTTTGAAATTTACCAACCGGTCGGTCCGCCGAACTTTCTTTAAAGAAACCGAGACACAGACAATGTTGTAACGTTCGAAGAAACGTCCTCGTGGATTCTATCGGTCGAATGAGACAAGATGGGACTTCTCTCTCGTTCCATACGGACGAGAAGTTAGGAGCGGCGGCGAATTACCAAATGCATATTAGCGCGCGATGGGCCGTTTAAGAGCGCGTAGTCAATCTCTCCGACGGACATTTATGGAGAGGGAATTAATATACCGGACCTTCAACCTCGAGACCTTCGCTGGTGATATATGTACACGCTCGCTCCACCCCCTTCTAAACGTTCGTTTCTCTTCCTTCAGTTTCTTTTTTTTTTTTATTTTCTTTTTTTTTGTTTTTTTTTTTTATTCTTTTCCCTATCCTTTTTCAATCTTGCTTCTCTTTTTCTTTCTTATTTTTTTTTTACTTTCACCTTTTTAACGACTAACGAACCAACGAACGAACGAACGAACGAATAAATGGTATCGTATTGAAAACGAAACTAAACGAATTTTCTTTTATTTTCATTTTTGTCACCAGGAAAAAGCTTTAGCATCACGATAACAGTCTCGACGAGTCCACCTCAGGTAGCAACTTATACCAGGGCGATCAAAGTTACCGTCGATGGACCGAGAGAACCACGTTCGAAAACGAGTAAGTAAAAGACATTAAAAAAATTATGCGCACTCCTCCCGTGGCATAGTGTTCCGCGATAACGCGTTACGAGCAACGATCAGATCCATCTAATGGGATGTGACCGGCTGCTACTAGTCCCAGCATCCCTAGAAAATGTACCGATAATTCACCGAAAGTCCCTATACGCGGTAATAGCGGCGTCATTACCGAGCAGATGGTGCACGATGATGCAGTGGTCGAGCTACGTTACTCTCTTGCGTGTATGCGTGTTTTGGTTTTGCTATTCAACGAACGTCGCCCGGCGACGGGACCGACCAATGGCTTGGGCTTGGGTTTGGGTTTGGGCTTGGGTTTGGCTTGGCTTGGCTTTTCCCGTCACGGAATTTTCCTGCGAGAAAACTTCGCAACGTTTTCGACAATTAGGTATGAAGAGGTTTTCTTTTTTCTTGTTTTTTTTGTAACCGGCCAGTTATTTTCAGATGTATGCATTTCTCTCTTACTATATCTATGCACGACGTGTGTCCGTACACGTGTACGTGTGTGCATATAATAAAAAAAAAATAGAAAAATAAAAAAAAGAAGGGGGATCGTTATTTCGATATCAGATTAATAGCCGCTGCGGAATCGACCGCGGAGTACGGGCAGGTTTTTGCGGACGATTCGCATTTGTTGGATAAAGTATTGATGGGCGTAGGGCAATGCGTACACTCGCTGGACTCGCGAGTAATTTTTTTTCCTTCCTTTTTTTTTCTTTTTTTTTTWCTTTTTTTTTCTTTTTTTTTTTTTATTTCTCCTCCTTTTTTTATTTTTATTTTTTCATTTTTCCTATGTGTGTTTTTTTTTTTGTTATTTTATTTTTTTTTTTTGATTTTTTTATTTTTCGAAATGCTCCGTTTGATTGATTCAGCTCATTCACCAATTTTTCAGTTATCGCTCGGTATTATTTCAAAAAAGGATTAGATATTCATATCTATGTATATATGTAGATGTATTACATTTATATTTTGAAATGTTTAACAATCGTAAGGATCATTAACAAACGTGAGAACAACGTTGACAATTCTTTTGAAATTTATCGACGATTTCATAGGATTCTCGTCGAATCGTATCGGTCATTACCCACAATGAATTGTTGTATTTACATTGATTAAAAGTGTCGACATAGGAGAGATGCCCCGTAACGAGCCACGTTTACATATCGATGTCCGCCCCCGATATGTCAGAAATTAATATAAAATTAATTAACTTCGATTAAATAATTAAATCTATATCCAAACCGTGAGCGAAAACAATGAACATTTCCATTCCGTGTTTCAAAATAGCAAACTGACGTGCGACAGGTTATACGGATATTCGAGCGACGCGACGCGACGCGACGCAACGCATCGCAACGGAACGGAACGGAACGGAATACAACACATGCAACGCAATGCAACGCAATGCAATGCAATGCAACACAACACAACTAAGCGATGCAACGTGAACGAACGAACGAACGAGCGCGTGCAATGATGTATTTGTCAGAATTCCTCGCTCGGCGTTTAACAGTTTACGCTTCATTAGTGACCGCACGGTAAATATATTTTTAAGCTGTACGCAACTTTATAAAGAGCGTCCGTGGCATATAAAATTTTGTGTGAAAACAAGAAATATATAAAAGGGAAGAGAAAAAAAAGAGAGAGAGAATGAAAATTGTATAATCTCGTCTTATTCGTTACAAATTAATTATAAATATCAATGAATATACACGAAGTACAATATTAGAATTAAAATTAGTGATATTATTTTATTTCAAATGAAATTATGGTATCATTTTGAAAATGGATGTTCGATCAAAACTAAGGGAACGTCGCCAGCCTACTGACACTTTCGAGGAATCCTCCTCGGAGAAACAAGAGAAGAAAGAAAGGAAAGACAAAAGTAGTAGTAGTAGAAGAAGAAGAAGAAGAAGAAGAAGAAGAAAAGGCCGTGTCGCGTGGAGAAACGAAACTAAGCGCGAGCAGCCCCACGAAACTTTAGCCACGCACAACGACATATTGCATATGTGGGGTTGTCAAGGATAGCGTGTTGCTTGAACGGCACGCACCGTATGGATGATCTATGCGAAAGAAACTTCTACATAGATGGAAACGTATACACGTATTAGATATATTAGTATGGGTAAAGAAGAAGAGAAACGGTGGGATGCATCGACGGTTCTTTGAGCAGGCAAAACACGAGGACCCGAGCGAAATTTCATTGTCCTGTATCTCTTTCTCTCTCTTATTATTCGGTCTGACTCTAAACACGGCAACGAGACAATGCATCGACGCCCCGCAGACACCTGCCGTTCCTCATTATTACGCGGATAATCGCGAGCTTTTTGTTAAGCGAAAATCGTCCGTCCTCTCCCTTTCCCTACATCAAATACACCCTCCTTTCCTCCCCCAGCCCGTCGTCGTTTTACCTCTTCCACCCTTCCCAAACCTATAGCGCATGCCGTCCGTCCGTCCTCCTCGTTCCACTTCACCGGTAGGCCACCGACGGTAATCGAGCAATTTCTGTAATTCCTCGTTCGGCAGCACGTGGAAATGCGAATTGGAGGGGTTGTAACCGTGCGAAACGAGGTCGATCGTCGGAGGGATGAAACCTACAATCGACGGGAATTATTATCAACGTTAAGCAGCGAGTTTATGTGTTTTTTTTTATAAATATTTTGCGTGATTTTTTTTTTGTCACCAACCTTCTCTATATGTATTTTCTGTAATATATATATATATATTTTTGTTTTCTTTATTACAATTGAGAGACGCAATCGTTGAATTCGATTTTTCTCTACGAAATGTTTTAATTAATACGTCGTTGAATTATATATCTATCTATTTCTCTCTTTCTCTTTCTATTTGCATATATATATATATATATATATATGTATACATTTATACATATACATGTATAGAGAGAGAAATAGATGATCGTAAAACAACAAATGAATTTCCCGTCGGGAGCATCGCGGCGAATCAGCGAGCCGAACTTGTCAAGCGAACTTTTATCGTCCGGCCAAGCTCGCGTCCTCTTTGATCTAGTTCCAGTTCGGATCAAACGTGCGCGCGAGAGAGTTTCTATCGAACAGCGTAAAGCAGAATAGAGTCCAAATTGATATTTCGAGAAAGAGAAGAGAGGGACCGAAAGAGAGAAAGAGAGAGAGAGAGAGAAAGAGAGAGAGAGAAAGAGAGAGAACGATCTCCTCTCTCTCTTTCTCTCTCTTTCTCTCTCTTTCTCTCTCGCGAAACAAAGTGGCCGCCAGCCGTCACCCGTGGTCCAAAATCATCGAAATGTTCCCGACCGAAACAATATCGATGGACAGATGCTGTCAGTCAAAGGTCGAAATTGAATTTGCTTCGTTGGTAATTGCTCCGCGTTTGGAATATCGTCGATTAGCATGGGCATATCCCAGGGTCTCTGAGTCCCGCGAAATCATTACTGGCTTTGATAGAAAAGGAATACCCCCGTGATATCTAATTGTCGATGAATTTTCAACGATATCAATTGCTCTATCCCACGTTTCCGTCGGTTTCCCCCAGACCCTTCCCTTCCCTTCCCTGCCCCTGCCCCTGTCCATGCCCTACCTCCCTCCCGTCAGATATGCGAAACTAAATAATACAAACAAACTATTCAACTTGTGTTTTCTCCTCTCTTTCTACCTCCCACCATCCCTCTCCTCACCCGAGCGTTCCCTCCTTTTTTCTTTTTTCGTTTTTTTTTCATATTCTAGTTGAAAAAGAAATATGAAACAAATGTGTGCAGTAAGCGTTGCAGTAGGTATACTCTTGTCTATCGCGTACAACGATATTCGATAAATTGTCATATCGAGAACATGAGTCTTTAAAAAATTTCTTAACGCGTTAGAGATCAACGTTTTTTGTTTTTTTGCAAACGAACGATTCTAAATGAAATACTCAACGATGTAGGATTTCGTTAAAAAAATTTGTATTAATGATTTCTAAATGACGTAAGAGACTATACGTTCACCGGTCTCCTCCACCAAAATGCGTTAATAAAATAACTTTTAAATCAAATCTATAATATAATTTAAAAAAAAAAAAAAAAAGAAAATGTGTATATAAAATATATATCAATGACCGACAAAATTCGTTCATCCGTTGTGCGTGCGTGCGTTAAAAAACTATGGTCGAATATTGATACCATTACGGACAAAACTTTTTAAACGGTAAAGAAAAGAAATGAAAAGAAATGAAAAGAAATGAAATTCGAATCGAGATCCTCGCAATATTCGTGCCAGTTACAGACCCCTAGTGTCAAGAAGGACGTAAGATGCGGAGGGGGGAGGGGCCCGTTTATTAGAGAGGAGGAAAAAGCCGCGCTATTTCCGTCCACCGGGACCGCCACATTTTGATTAGATAAGTCGACTACTCGTGCTTGTAGAGATTGGAATTATTCTCTTTCGCTTTCTTTCTTTCTTTCTTTCTCTCTCTTTCTCATTCTCGTAGTTTTTTCTTTTTCTGTCTCTGTTCGCGTTTCACTGACTTAATTTGTATCGTTTCGAAGGTGTGTGTGTGTATAGCATCGAATTCTATTATTTAATTAAAAATTATTTTCGAAACTTTTTTTGTCTCTTTCTTTGCAACACAATGTCTCTCTCTCTCTCTTTCTTTCTTTTTATTAGGTCTCACATAAAACGACTAGAAACAATTCGTTAGTTCCCCATTATCCTCTTCTTCTCTAGCTCGTAGATACGATACGAACCGTTGTTAACCGATAACCGCCTCTGCGACTACGGGGCGTCGAAGAAAACGCACGGATGAAGTAAAAAGAGTCTTATCAATTATACGCAACGTATCCATTGGCGTGTTACGATAAGAATTCATGTAACTAGTCCAACCTCTAGAGAAATTAAACGAGTCAACGTTGGAATTTCCAACGGGGTACGAAAAATGTTACTCGTTTAATACGTATTACGACGAGATCGATTTATACCAAAATTTAATATTATCACGTGATTTGTGATTAATTCGTTAAAAAAAAAAAAATAATAACGATGAAAAGGAACGCACGATTGATTCGAATAATCAACGTACGTACGTACGTAAGTTTCAGTCGTTGTTCGTTTTGAAACATTCGACGAGGGCTCGACCATCTGCGTCTTTTGCAACGATTTAGCGTAGTTTGTGGTCAAACTTTATTTGTCCTTTCGCCCTTCTCTTTTTTCTTACCAGCCTTTTTTTTTTCTTTTTTTTTGTCGTCGTCTGGTCGATAATAATAATTTGTATTTAATTGTAATTGTGTGTAACTTCCTTTTCTATTATATTTTGTTTTCCAAAACAACGTAACCCTTTCTTTTTTTTTTTAAATATTGCAACGTTTGTCCATCACGATCTAGGATAACAGAAGACTAATAGATATTTCGGAATAAATAGATAGCCAAATGGTATATAGAGACATACCATAACAGGCAAGTTCTATCAAGTTACGGTGATACGAATCCGCTATCCGTCTTTGAGGGTAATCGTTCGATACCGCGCATGCATTGTGGCCTTCGACGATAAACTCGCTTCACTACAACAGCGGATTAACCTATCGGCGATCTAGTGCGTAGATGCCGCGATACTTGGATCCGAATTCTGTCGGCTCACGAATGGACGGAATGCGCGGAATGCTATTGAAGTCAATCGAGATACGGACCACTCGAGTTTCTTAATTATCCTACTCTGCGAGCTTAATTATACAAACATCTTCCTATCTCACTCTACCTCTCTCTCTCTCTCTCTCTCTCTCTCTCTCTCTCTCTTCTATCAATACAACAACCTGACGATGATACTTCGTTTTGGTAATCAGTGAGAGAGATTAATTAATTCGAGTTTAAATATGCAACGTTACAAAGCGTTTTAAAATCAACGACGTATAACCAAATATTACAAAAGACCCATTTAAAGATAATGACAATTAGAGAATGATACGATTGAAATAATTATTAAGGAAAGAATACAAATCGATCAATTCGATGATTGTTATTTAAGGACAACAGCATCAACAATTTCGAGCACTTGGTTTGGGTCAAAGACCATTCTTGGATGCACCAAACTCGTTCACCTCCCACCTACGAGAACTGGAGTCCTACAGGAGGAATAAGCATCACCATCATCACAGCAGTCACTTACACGGACAGCAGACTGGCAGCAACGTCACCGCGAATTCGGTTAGCGGTGCCTGCTCCAACCCCAACAACACCGACCCAACCGCATCGCCCGCTTCCAGTACACACCTCGGAGCTACCGGAGGAGGTTCCTCTAGTACTGCTCATCAGGATTGCTACAAGCATAGTCCTCAACACGGTGGTAAGTCCTCTTCCTTCGTCCTATCGATTTACTAACGATCACCCTGCAATCCTATCCTTCCTTATCTGTTTTCTCGACACGTGCCGTGCCGAGGAATGGCACGTATCATCGGATACTTATCTACCCTAACAGGTATAATCATCTTCGTACAATTTGCAAATCGTTCGATGCAAAACTTCCTCCATTTAAATTTAAACACAAGTTGAACTTATACATTTTGAAATCAATTTCTCTCCTTATCATAGTGTAAACAGGGGGGGATCCCAAATTTTATGCGAATATTAACACGTACGAACAATCATAGGATTGATTCGTTATACAAAAAAAAAACAAATAAAAAGAACAAATTTGTTATCCAAAATTTGTTCAGTAAAATCTCGAGTATAGTGTTAGATTTCAATTAAATTCCTGATAGAGATACAATCCGCTGTGCGACTTTCGATCCTTGTTATCCTATCTGAACGACTTCAGTGTGTAATGAGAAAGTAATCGTTAAACGATTTTAGAAACTCGTCGTACCTTAACCCTTTAGAAAAGTGTAAAGCAATAATAAAGAAAAACAATTGTAAGCTTTCGAAGGAAGAAAAAGCGACGGACGTTTGTTCATGATGAATGTTTCAACGGTATATCATAATCTTTCTATCTCTCTCGGTCTCCCTTCTTCTCGGCAAGCATCCTCGTGGCTCGTGAAACTACTACGCACTAAACCCACCCACCACCAGCACCACCAGCCCTCTCGCCAAAGTGGGGGAATGTCCGTTGTTGAAAGGAAGAGGTAAAGAGAGAGAGAGAGAGACAGAAAAAGAAAGAAAGAGAGAGAGTGAGAGAGGGGGAGGAGGTAATGAGGGGCTGGAAGGAGGGAAAGGGGTCCGCCGTTTCGCGAGGTAATAGTTTCATACCTCGTTCCGGCTCTGCACCCTCTAATTCAACGTAATAACGACATTCAACCTGCCGTTTCCATCTCTCTCCCCTCCCCCGTCTCTCTCTCTCTCTCTTCTCTCTCTTCTACCCTCTTTTCGATCTCTCCAGCCAACTCGAATTCACCATTGTATCTCTCTAGCACGAGACAAAAGTGTCCTTTCCATGGATTGACTTGATCGTTGATTATCTTTCTCTCACATTCTCTCTTTCTCTTACTCCTGTAAAAACATCAGTTAATATAAATATGCCATACTGCATAACGATGTGTTTTATAATCGATGATCGAGATGATATTCTTATCGTTGATTTTTTCTTCATTAAAAAAAATTCATTTATTTTCTTAAATATCCGAGAACGCGTACGTGACGACGACTTGTGTAAAGTCGCTCATTTGCTAAGAATTTTTATCGAAAACATACATGGTAATCAGAATAGTAGCAAAACGATTCCGCGAAAAAAAAAGAAAGGAAGAAAGGAAGGAAGGAAGGAAGAAAGGAAACGACGAGTCACAAACGCTAAAGACCTCCAACGAAGAAGTTTTGTACTCTTTTTATTTCCTCGTTTCTCCGAAAGTATTACATTATTGTTATCTTAATTACACGCGGATACTGGTCATTGTTTTATTCGTTTCGGTGAAGAAGAAGAAGAAGAAAAAGGAAAAAAGTAAGAAAAAAAGAGATATTTATCTAGTCGACGTGAAAAAATTCGCGGATTAAAGAAAGAACCATTGGTGATGGTGGTGGTGGTGGTGGTGGACAGCTCGATATCACGAGTTCATAATAATTTCGGATGCAAAAAGGCAGCTGGATGGATCGGTGGGCTAGTTGGCTGCTAGCTAGCTATAGCTATAGCTAGCTAGCTAGCTCAGGCACTTTATTTTCTACGTTGGTGCTCGTCTCGGATCAGCGGTCTCGACCTGATCAAAGTTAAGTAGACGCGCTTCTGCTGGCGAGACCTCTTTGAAGCTACGTTGCGGTTTCTCTTTGCCCTAATCTCCTCCTCCGCATCTTTCTCCCTCTCTTCCTTTCTCACTCTCACACTCTATGTCTGTTTCTCTCTCTCTCTCTTTCTCTCTCGCTCGCTAACTCAATCTCTTGTTCTTTCTTCGTCGATCAGCACCTTCCCGGGCGAACAACTTGACTTCACCCACGTTACCTTCCTAGGTCGCGTTGTCGTCTTCTTCGTCGTCGTCGTCGGCCATCACCACCGTTTCTAATTAGCTCGTTTATACAAACTAACGCGTTTTGGCCTTGTTCCAACCGCCCCAAAAGAATAAATAATACATTGTAGAAAGATTGTAGATGATCCGAATGAGAATACCTACATTTCGTGGCTACTTCGACGGGTTTCATCATTTCAAATCCTTCATTCATCTTATCATCTTTTTTCTTTTATTCATTTTTTTTTTCTCGATTTTGTACACCTTTGAACGACGAGTAGCTGCTGTTGAATCGTCGAAGCACGTACTCCTCGAGGAGCGTAGTGCAAAATGATCGAGCAAGCAAGCAAGCAAGCAAGCAAGCAAGCAAGCGTCGGTGGATCCAATTTTCTTTCTCTTATTCCCTTCTTCTTTCTCTTCGAAACTGACAGAGAGAGAAAGATAAAGAAAGAAAGAAAGAAAGAAAGAGAAAGAGAGTGGTCTCAGCACGTTCATCTTTCGTTACCCTACCGATTCGAACAAGCATTCGAGAGAAAGAGAGAGAGAGAGAAAATGGTTGGTACATGATCGGACTCCTCACGTACGACTCACGCGCACATCTGCGTAATACCAGGGATCGATCGGTCGATCGAGAAACGATCGAGTGCTCGATCCGTGTTGTTTTTGCCCTTCGCTCCTCGCAACCATCTTCTCCTTTTGTCTTGTGCTCGCTTCGTTTGCGATACCAGACATCGTACTGAATCGAAGCCTCTTCTTCTTCTTCTTCTTCTTCTACTACTTCTTCTTCTTCTCTTTACCTGATTGCTAGCAACCATCGGGAGAAGAACCCTTTGCAATCTCATCGATAGACATCGTTCCTTTGAAAAGTCTTCATCCAAAAACATCCGGATAAATCAGTTGAAATTCTATATCTCTCGCGGGTATATATATATAATTCTGATTATTTTACTAAATAAGAAGAATCGAAGAAAGAGACATCGTCGTCATCGTCATCGTCTTCTTCTTAGTAGTCGTCTTAGTAAATTGTTGAAAGAGTTGGCGGAGGAGACCTCGAACGGAAGGTCCTCGGGTGATGAAAAAAGAGGAAGCAAGCATTATTCCTGTCTCTTATAATATAACCGTGTCCGTTTCTCTCTTCTCTCGAGTTTCATCTCCAGTCGTGATCGGGGTAATGAGGCTTTGCCAGTAGCAGCGGCCTCACAGCCTGAGGTGGTGAGATACGGAGAGAGTGGAGGAAGATAAAAGATGAAGAAAGAAAGAAAGAAAGAAGGAGAGAGAGAGAGAACTCCTATGGTAGTTTGTACTACCGAAGAAGAGACGGAAAATGGAAGGTGTACAGTGAAAGAAAGAGAGAGAAAGAGAAAGGGGGAGAGAGAAAGAGAGAGAGGGTAACGCGAAAAGAGAGAAGCCGCGTTGGGTACCAGTGGTAGGGGTAAGGACGCTGATTATGGGGTGTCAAACAATCACACTGATTGTATATTCTGTTCCGACTCCTTCTGTCTACCTTTGCGTCTACGTCCGTATAACAGAACCACTCTTGTTTCCCTTCTCTCTTTCTCTTTCTTTCTCTTACCTTCGTTCACCTTTCATCTAAGTATATGCGTGTGTGTAAGTGTCTGTAAATGTGTGTTTGTATGTGTGTGTAGAAAAGAATTTAGAAGGAGAGATGTATTTTGTTGCCAGTTTAAAAAAGAAAATACGAAAACAGGAAGAAGATGAACGAAAGAAAAAGGAACAAACACCTTTCTTTCTCTGTCTTTCACTCTTGTAAAGATAATCGATAATAATGTTTTTTTGGAAATACACTTTTTAAATTTGCAATAATTTTTATTACTCTTGTTAAACACACAAAGCTTGCACAACTATTATTACTTTTATTCAAACTTATTAACTCGCTTTTTTTATTATTATTCTTTCTTTCGGTATTATTCTTTTGAATCTTTTTTACACGATTTTAATCAATCTTACTTTCGTTTTGACGTTTCGTGTTAATTAAAGAAAACCTAGAATCAAAATTGAATCCTTGTATCTAATTTTCCAAATATTTCATACTTTTCTCAATTACTTATTTATCTATTTTCATTCATTTGTACAATAAACACAAGACAATACTTATTTATTCGGATAAATGTCGTTTCTCAAATATGATGATGCGATTTTCTCATAGGAAAGTGAACGCTATGGGAATACGTATATATACTCGACTATTCAATCCGGTAAGAAAAGAGAGAGTGAGTGAAAGAGAGAGAAAACAAAGAAAGATCTTACAACTCTTTACCTGTTTACCAAGGAAGAACGGAAAGGAAGAAAATCGTTGAAGGGGTTGAAGGGGGGAGGTAAAAAGAGAAATAGAAAGAAAGATAGTAGCAGTGTGGAGGACCGATTTAGCGATTCCCACGTGCCTCCTCAGTAGCCATAACCAGGAATGCGGCTAGCTAGCTAGCTAGCTTGCTTCAACTTCAGCTTTCCTTCAACAAACATTTTTTCTACCTACTGATTGTCCCGCGCACAGAATCCTCTCGCTGAAGGATCATCCTCATCCTTGAAACGTTACGCCGATGCGCGTGCACGGGCCGGGCCGGGCCCTTAATGGAAACCAAGTGCACGCTTGTACAGGATTATTACTTCTTCCTGCAACACAACGTGGTTTTAGACTTTCCCAATGAGCGAGTGAGAAAGAACGAAAGACGATCTCTTTTCGTGAAGGAGGCAAGAGAAAACTTCAAGTCTTATTCTTAACTCTTTCAATTTCTATATTGCTTCCTTGTTAAACGATCTCTCCCTCTCTCTCTCTCTCTCTCTCTCTCTCTCTCTCTCTCTCTCTCTCTCTCTATTTCTCTATTTCTTTCTCTATCTTTCTCTCTTGATTGTTTCGAACATATCCGGATGATCGAAGAAATTCCAAGTAACGGCAAGTAGG